AGGCAACGTGATGCTGTTTTTAAACACCGCGGGAAAAATCACGCACTCTGCGATGCCATCTTGGTTACCTTAATCGGAACCCCCCTTGTTAGCTAGCATGCATCTGTAGCGATGTCGCAAAGTACGTTGTACGGCCGTGCTCGGCAACCTCTGGTACTATGGCACTCTATGAATGAGGTATTTCCAGAGGTCAGGGTTCGTTTTAATTTTTATCGACCCATCGCGTCTGCTTGTAGTTGAATGAAACCTGTTTCGATTTACAATAGTTGTCTCCCATTTCGACTTTTTCTCACCGGCATTTGAGCGATTGAGTACAAAAACTGTGAATAGCCGTTGTGTAGCAAAATATTACGACCCATTTCAACCTGGCCGTCTAACTTCGCACGATCCATTTCACCGGAGATCGTGAAAAACTGTGTCATACAGAGTATTTGTTAAAGGTCTGAGGAAAGGTAAATTTAGACTCAACCCACCCAATGGGGATCGCTATGTTTGTATAACTGTATGAATATCTCATCGGCTTTACATAATCCATTGTCCCCCCCCCCCCCAAAGTGGAAAAGATAACACTACGCTATGACAGTTTTCACGCAAGGTTTTGACTCCGCGGATGATTTTACGTCCGTTTCCCTAGTATTCTAAATATTTTTATTTTATTTATTTTTCTGACGATTGAACATCAGCAAGCGTCGGTGTATGATGGATTTTGGCATGTCGTCGTGATGCAATAGCCATTTTTATGGACGATTAACGTCACTTTCATAAAACGGCCATTATCTCGGTTCGTGTTTTCTGGTTGGTCAGAGAGATTGAAAATTAATTAGCTCCCACAGTTTTTGTCAGTTTGTCATGACATTTTCACACTATTTTGACAACGTCTCTACGGACAAAAGGACGTCTGGGCTTATTTTTAAAGCTTTGCATTCTTGGACAATGACATTCAAAGTGTGAAATACAGACCGGGATTGACTATACAACACACATCCTGCTTGACAACTTTGTAATACTGTAAAATGACTAATTTTCACTGGGTTTAAATTTCACTGATTTACCATTTCAGGCATATTCAGTGGGTTTTAAATTCACGGTTTTATCATTTAGATAATGTGTTCTATGCTAAATTTTATATATTCACTGGGTTTTAATTTAACGCATTTTCCAGTCAGCGAAATAAGCTAAATTAAAACCCAGTGAATAATTAACCATTTTACAGTATGAAAACAAAACATACTGTATATACGCCTGGACACCCCTTTGTTAATAAACAACTGATAAACCTTGTGTGAAAGTTTTACTCAAAATAAACAAGATTTGTGCGAGCTATTTAGATTTGAACTTCCATGGTAAACTGAAAAACACAAGTGGAGATAATGGCTAATTTGCATAACCATTCACTCAGTAAGAAGTTTGCTAATGCTCATAATTAAAATGACTGTAACAGTTCCGAATTTAAACCTATTATCGTTTTGTAAAAAGTTAAATATAGTGTATAATATGGATATCCCGATACTTTTTTTCACCATGTTTGTTTTTGATTATTTATGTACAGCCTTGCTAAGCATTCAAAAGAGAGAAATCGTCTTTTGAGTATGTTCCACTATTCACAATGCTGTGAAATTTTAACAGTCTATAGCCAAGACTGTTTGGATAATAAAAAGCAAAAAAAAAGAAAATTCACTCTCAAGTGCCCATGAACCTGCATCTATACCTTAAATACTTTTTATAAACACAATTTTAAGTTGTAAATTTGAATGATGCTTAACTAATATTTAAAAAGGAGCAGCTTCACCAATGCCTCTGAAATTGAATTGTAGGTGATTTTGTGATCGTCGACCCTATAAGTGAAGGTGATAAGGTGAAGGGAGAAATAGCAGTGATATTATATCCTAGACAAATCAGATACATCAAGCAAGAGGGTAAATGGTAAGTAAATCTTCATTGGGTGCATAAATCTTGGTTGAAATTAGATGATCATGGTGATCACTCTGTTGCTTATATTCAATTGTATTCATCACACTTGCCAGCTTTTTGACTCCCGTGTGCGAAGCACAAAACGGAGTCTTTGCAGTTACCCTGTCTGTATGTATGTATGTATGTATGTATGTATGTATGTATGTATGTATGTATGTATGTATGTATGTAATGGTATGTATGTATGTCTGTCACTTTTTTTGTTCCACAGTTATCTCAAGAACCACTAATCAAATTTTGGTGAAACGTGGTACATATATGCTCTGGGATAATGCGCAGAGTTGATTAGGTTTTGGTAAAAATCTATGAATATTAATTACCTAATTTGCATGATAATTAGCTGATTTTTAGCTGTTCCATGACTGTTCCACTGATATATGAAGAACCACTCATTGAA